CATCGGAATTAAACAGAAGAAAAGGCTTTTTTTATTTTATCTCCTAATAGGCTAATTATTTTTTTAGGGGGTTATTCATGATGGAGCCGAAGGATTGCAGCTTCGGCTCTCTTCGGCCGCTGGAGCCCTTCGGTTCAGCCGAAGGGCTGCTGTACGGGCTATTCACTTTAGCTCGTACAGCAGCAGCCGAAGGCGGCCGAGCAGCTCAGCCGAGCCGAAGACATATGCTTCGGCTCGACTGACCTGAAGTGACAGCCAAAGCGGGCGATGTTGGATCGGCTGAGTCGAAGTCCTTCTGCACTATTCAGCTGACCGAAGTGCAGCCGATGTACGGCTGATTTCACTTCATCTGGGTTATTCACTCAGCTGCCTTTGGCAGCTGTGTGAATAACCCCCTGAGTTTTTGGCAGGACATACGTTGGACTTGATGGACTTATGTCTTTATTCAACCTCAAATACTATGTAACTAAGTTCTGTTTTAAGTTTAGTACGTGTTGTCTCTTCACTCCATCCTGACAATGTGCTTCCGGTCTCTGTCCTCATTGAAAGGTTATTAGAGCGTTCTGTTTTTCTTCTAGATCTAACAATCCCTATACTACTAAAATTATACCAGTATTGTTATATCCATCCTTCTACTGCTACAATGATATGTTCCTCGGATAAAAAAGCCTTCAAGGAATGTGTCATTTGTGCGATGTAGCATTTATGGATTTGTGATCAGTATATACAAGTGTACTTTGCTCCTCAGTTATAGGTTTCAGACGGTTGTTCAGCTAAATTTAGTTCCCCGAGGGCATGCTGGAGAAGAGATGCAGCTTTCATACAAGAAATGTTTCTGGATGATTTGCTGCTGTACCACTATTGCTATATTCTGGATTTAATGAGGTGCAGTTTTGTGTGCCCTTAGACCCTGCAGTATGTTAATTGGGAGCAGTGAGCAGTAAAATCAGATTGTTGTGATTTAAAGTGACATTAAACCCTCAGATTTTTTAACATAAACCAATACTGTAATGTGTGCCTTACTGTAATCCATGGTTGTTTCCCTTCTCTTTGCTGCTCTTCCTTTTAAATCCTCATGTCTTCTCATGCTTGGATGAGAACTTCCCTCTGCAGCTGAGTGCCTCTTCCTGTAGTGCTGGCTCAGGTTACAAACCTATACAAACCTACACACAGACACCATGTATCCATTCCAGAGACAAGGCAGTCTGCTGCAAAACAGAAGTTTTGCCCAGCATGAGAAGAGATACAGATTTAAAAGGAAGAGCAGCAAAGAGAAGGGAAACAACCATGGATTGCAGTAAGGCGGACATTACAGTATTGGTTTATGTTAAAAAATCTCAGGGTTTAATGTCACTTAATGACATATGACATATTTATAAAGCAGTTATTGTGGCATTCACCAAACATTTTCTGCAGGTGCATCTTTCTGGTGCATTTGTTTTAAATACAGGAAATGATAAGCACCTGAGAAAGTGCCACATTTTTTTTTGTAAACATTGAACGCAATTTTTTTGTAAACATTGAACCATTTTGGGGTGTCTGCAGAACTACTGTCTCTACCACATTGGATGATTAAAATGAGCCTGTTTGTTTTACTTAAAGGTGAACTCCAGGCAAACAGCTTAACATACAGATGACATAGTTCCATTATTGAAGGGAAGAGAATAATGCAAGGTGAAAAATACAGTAGCCCAGAGCAGCCAATCACTGTGGTGGCTATTCATGAAGGATCCAGCCGTAGCTTCGGCTGATCCTTCGGCTCTCTTCGGCCACCGGAGCCCTTTGGTTCAGTTGACCAGAAGGGCTGCTGTACGGGCTATTCACGATAGCTTGAACAGCAGCCGAAGGCGGCCGAGCGGCTCAGCCGAGCCAAAGGCATATGCTTCGGCTCGACTGAGTAGACAAAATATATCTAAACTCAAGAACTAAGATATTTTGCTTATTGCAGCTTCCCAGGCCTTAGGTGTGGTGGCTGCATTAGTTTCCTCTTTTCAGTCTAAATGCATTTTCTGCAAGTTCTGCAAACTATCTGCTGATCCTGATAGAAATCCAGTGCCCTGTGTGCGGAAACCGAAATCTCCAATAACGTTTTCAGCTTTCCTAGCTAACTTCTACACCGCCCCCTCTCCCTATGTAATAGAGATAAGGAGAGGTGTTTGTAGTCCGAATTAGCAGAGTGACAACGCTGTGATACAGTGCAGTACAGTGGGAGAGTGTTGTCACCCAAAGTGTGTCACTGGCCAAAGAAAACGCCTTAAAAAAGAAAACAAATGCAACCACCGCATTTAAGGACCAGGTAACAGTGAAAACTGTATTTCTTTTAAAAATTGGCAATTATTTATTTTTTTATAATAGACATTTCGTCAGCAAGCTAAGTGTCTTTCAGTCAGGGTTTAGACCTACATTCATTTTTCTCAGGCTAGGAGAAGAGACTGGTGGACTGCTAACAAGTACATTAAAGCCTACTGCAAACCATTAGCATGAGTTTGTAATATATTTATATCCAATTGTTCTGAGTTTAATCCAATGAAGAAAAAAAACACACACATAT